GAGAATCTTCCAGATTGGAATTATCGTAACAGATTTTTGTATACCACAACAAATAGTAAGAATATGCGCATATTTGAATACCGTGATGATTATAAAAAAAATATCAAGAATATACGCATTTATGAATACCATAGTAAACATTAGGAATATGCACATATTTGTATACCATAATGAATATTACGAATATGCATGCCAAACTTTGCCATCATAAAAGCGGCACTTTTGTATTGTTTTAAGTCTACTTAAGACGGGTCATTTTTGTGTATAGATCATGTACAGTAACGGACATTGAAGTGCAATTTGTGATACATAGCTAATCCAGCCACTATACTTGTAAGTAATGTGTCTGATTGTTGATGCGCAGTACACGGCACAGTAACACGTAAGCATTATCACTGCAAAACAAGGAACAATGAACGTTTTTAGCTCACCTGCCCGAGGGCACGTGAGCTTAAGCCAATGGCGTGGCGTCCGTCGTCCGTCCGTCCGTCAACACATTTGTTTAAACGACTGCTTATGAAGTTCCGAAAGTCCTACAGTCATGATATTTGTCCTGTAACATCATAGGATGGAGCCCGACAAAGTTTGCGTTGAAAATGACCTTGAACTGCATGTACTTTCAACGTCACAGGGGTCAAATAGGTCAAAACATTCAAACGACTTCTATTGAAGATCTGAAAGGCCTAAAGTCATGATATTTGGCCAGTATCATCCTATGATGGAGCCCAACAAAGTTTGCGAATGAAAATGACATTGACTTAATTTTAAGGTCACTGGGTAAAATAGGTATAAACCTTCAAACGACTTCTTCTGAAGATCTGAAAGGCCTAGAGACATGATATTTGGCCAGTAGCAACCTATGATGAAGCACGACTAAGTTTGCGAAAGAAAATGATGTTGGCCTACTTTCAAGGTCAAATAGGTCAAGCATTCAAATGACTTCTACTGAAGATCCGTAAGGCCTAGAGTCATGATATTTGGCCAGTAACATCCTATGATGGAGCCCAACAAAGTTTGTAAACGAAAATGACATTGACCTACTTTCAAGGTCGCATGGGTCAAATAGGTCTTAACCTTCAATCGACTTTTTCTGAAGATCGGAAAGGCCATATACTTCACTTATACATTAGGATACATCATAGCTTGTTATTATAGGGAAAGTATGGCTCCGCTTCCAGCCAATCAACACAAAAGTTTCGACACGTGGCTGATGTCAACCTCATGAACATACAAAAAGTGGCTCTATATCTGCGGAAAAAAAACACCTCGGAAATGGCGTGTGCTTTTGGAGGAAAACGGAGATCAATCACGTCCGCGGATGGAGAATACTTTTTACGTGTATATTGAAGGTTTTTTAAATAAAAACGGATCCATCTTCCAACGGCACTGAGCATTTTGTGTACATCAACTAGAAATATGGTTTTTGATGCAAGACAGTTAAGTGCGGTCGATCTTCCAGTGTATATAATCATTAGGGTGGCATTTTAACCAAAAGGTGATCTAAAGCCCTAAACCGTCTAAAATTACCATAGCTGTAACAAATGTTCATGTCACTGTGTCTAATACTACAGTCAGTCAGGGGGTAAATGAATGTATTTCGTTTTATGATTCATACCTTACAGCAGTACCAACACAGATTGGATTCGATGGAATGAAGTGTAAGCTATTTGTCGAAATAATTAATTAGCATTAGGTAATATCAGCAAGATGACGATGAAAGTGACGTCACATGACAAATAACTTATTTGCACTGACATGACTGAAACAAGATCTTGCTAACGTGGATTGCACGGGGAAGTGGGTCAAGTTCATTCAATTGAACAATCTCCATGTGATATATCAATACTGTTATGTTTCTTAAGAAGAAATTGCTGAAGGGAAAGTTGATGCTGGACGTTGCACCACTGCACAAGGTTAATTATGCAGGCGTCACACTGTCCCGAAATTGACACCAGATGGCCATACGAATATGAAATTTTGAATTTCGCGCGAAGATGGCCCCGAACTTGGTCAACAGCTAATCAACAGCCGAAGTAAGTACGACGCCTACAGAAGTTCACACGATGGCAACCGAACAACACACGAAGGTAATACAAAGATGTGAATTTTTATTAAGTATTTTAACCGCAGGACACACGAAGGCCACACGAAGGCCGCACGATGGCTACGCGACGACGTATTGAGAGTACGATGCGTTCGAACTAGGTCACGAAGGCGTTACGTGACCTTCCGATTGTATAAAACCTTCGGCCGACCGTGGAAAATTCAATTGCTGATTGGAGATTATTGGGAGCAGAACACACTGTCAAGCCACCAAAGGCAGGGAAAGGCAGGGTAATAGGCTGGCTGGTAAATACAGAACTCAGAAAAGGAAGTAGGGGAAACTGAGGAATTAGAGGTCCAAGAAGACAGCACTGAGTCTCCAACCAGCGAGAGAAGGGGGAGATTGAGCTACTTAAATTCGGCTGTCTTCGCCGACACCATGGTCCCATCTCGATGCTATCTTACTTTAATACGATGGCTACACGACGGCAATGCGAGGCTTCACGTTGTCGTGTTGCCTTCCTTAGACAATCGGCCAGCATGTTGTTTCCTTCGTATTGTCTTCGTGATCACACGATGATCACACGAAATAAAGACGAAGAAGACACAATTTAACAAGATGGCCTAACAATGGCCTCACGAATTCAACACGAAAATGAACGTTCGCAAGGTATTTCGGCATTTTTTTGGCACCGCTCACGAAGTTGCTGCCGGAGTCTGAGAAACACAACCGGCGGTCATACGATGGTTTAAGATGCCCTCACGAATAGCCCGATGGTTTAACGATCATATCCGAGTTTGAACATTTCCTTTATCGTGTGTCCATCTGGTGTCTATTTCGGGACAGTGTGACGCCTGCATAATGAATTTACGTAGTTCATGAGACCATATCAGCATTACCTGTTCTGTAGACGAACTGAATTTAATTGACTATCAGAAAACAAGACTCGTCTATTATATATAACTATTCACTATTGATTTTCTTAAATACATAATTAAACCCTCTTTGTAATTGACGAAAGATGAGTTTATCCTAGTGGTTGGAATGAGAGAAAAATAATCCTACATGCCCAAGAGTGTAGGACACAGGGACCTGAGAATTTGTTACAGCTATATTTGGACCGAAACTAATTAAGGTGTTCAGAGTAATTTTACATGTTTTAGGGGTTTAGATCGACTTTCGGTTAAAATGACACCCTCCAATGATCATATATTTGAGAAGGGAGGAAAGCTCTCGATGTCGAAATGTCGACCCCACCTTACTTTCTTGCATCAAAAACAACATTTCTAGTTGATCTACGGGAACATGTTTGGTACCATTGGAAGGATGGATAATTTTTCTTTTAAAAACCTCCTACATATATATGCAAGTAAAATGGATTCTCCTTCAGCGGACATGAACTCAGTTTCCTCCAAAAACACACGCCATTTCACAGTTTCAAAGTTTTTCGCAGTCAGCCTGCTGAGACATGCAGTGTTGGATTAGCGAAAAAATGGCTTCCAGCCAATTCACAATCACACCACGGTTATCGGAACGCGGCTGATGTCAACTTCATTAATATTTTAAAAAGTGGCAGGCTGACAGTTGTAATCTGAATACTAAACCATAATCTCTGATTTTTTGGTTAAATGAGAAACTATCAAAAACTATTATTTGTTACAGTAGAAAAATATCACTGCGAAACCTTAAATTTATTGGTAAATGGAATTCGATATGGCGTGCCAAAATAAAATCATTAAATAGACACGTATCATGTTATGAGTCCGCTAGTTAATGTAGGTGTATCGGTTACTAAGTGGTGTTGTAGGTTGGACAGATGGCAAGTAGCGGTTGTGTTAAAATATGGGCGTTCGTCATCGTGTTTACGCCTACCATGTATTACTACTTCAATTTATTATCAATTTGTATCCGTACTATTATACACGTATGACTGAACACGTTAAGGTTGACGATGGTCAGCGCTGCGTGTTGTATCTCCAACAAGGAAGAGTTCCTATTCGTTTGACACTTTTCTAGCTTAGAGTTGCCTACATATTTACGAATGCAATTAAGGAATAACCACGCCGTATACCCCAAACATAATTTTGGTTATCGCTTTTAATAATTTAAAAAAGACAGACAGATAACACTTTTTAGGTTCATAGTTGATGAATATATAGTCATTTCCGATTAAAACCATCGAAGAAAACACAACATTGCGCTTTAATTTCATCCCAATGCAACTTCAACCAATCAGAAGTTGGAATTGCAAATGCTGAGCAAAATAGGCTTTTTCTGTTTTTATATGATAAAACGATATAAGTTATACGATATAACCCGTTAAAGTTTAACATTGGCATAATTGATAAAGTAAAACATAGAGTTATATTCTAAAGAAATGCATTGATTTTATAATACTTTTTTATACAAAAAACTTCGGGCTTTGCTAGGATGTTTAGATCCCAGGACCCTTGATTATGAAACAAAATGCTTTAGCACTGCTTTAGATATTCATATAAAAGCTACATTGTACCAAAACTTCATCATGGATTAGATTGTCCTAATCCCCAAGTAACATCCATATATATTAACATTGCCACTATAAGTATTTCTACAGAACGTCATTTGATCGCCGTTATTTTGAAGCTTCTCATACCGCCTCCAATAACGTGTGACAAATTTTAGAAGCAAACATTGTTGATGACGTAAGGCTGTTATAGGAATCTCGTTTGCACTGGCGACAAATAAACACTTCAATATCGGAAGTACTGAAATACTAATATTTTGAACAATAATAGCTGCAGTAGAAAAGCTAGAATGCAAACATAAGTATTTAACGTTTTTTTAGTGATTATGCCGATATGAAGGCACACATAAAACCTAAATTCCGGTATCCCCTTGCTAAGCGTTTTTCAAATGCTCGAAGCAAGGATTGGCAAGCTAGCCAATTTTGAAACAGGAGAAAGAGAAAATGTAACGGCCAGACCGGGGTTCGAACCCGGGACCCTCCGTACTCTAGACGGACGCTCTACCAATTGCGCTACCTGGTCACCGATGATCGATCCAGTCCAGTTCCGCTACAGGTTTATCATGAGGTAAGGGCTCCGTGTGATATGTATGTAACCGATCCGCGTTCATATAGGCATGGTCACAGGAGATTTCTTTTCTTTGGTGTAACAATAACTTTACTCATAATACACAACTGAAGACGTCATTATAACATGACGTCATAATAAAATATATAACGTAATCACAATAACCTACGATTAATACTACTTGAGATGATTTGCTGTCTAAAATACTTCTATTAAGCATTGCTAGTCTAGCTACATTTGATTCCTCAGTCATTTTTTTCAGCATGCATACCTTCATAGCAGTCAAATCATATTTACTGTTTGGACTGTTAAAACATTTGTTCGTAATTCCATGGAATATCCCATGTTGAACGTCAGATCACTCTCGGATAAAAAAAATCTTTGAATACGAACAACTTTGACTAACAAGTACCAGTAATGAGTCCGAAATGGCCGAAATGTATGGCAAAGCCAACTTTAACATTTCTTTAATGAGTACACCTGCAGGTGGGGGATCGGGAAAAGAATACACCTGCTGTTACCCACTGCATGTATCGTAGGAGGCGACTAATGTGGGGAAGCCTGCAAAATTGGGAATTGACTTTTTTGTCCTCTATTTGGGGACACAAAAGCGACAAAAATAAATCTGCTGCACCCATTGTAATATTTGGGATCCTTATCTTTCTTTCTACTTCTAATTACCTTTTCATTTCCTAGCACCTTGCTTGACGAATCCTCACTTTTGGTTTTAATGTTGAGCGTTCGCCCATGTGAGGAAGGCAATGGGTTCTGTCCCCAGGCCGGAACATACCAAAGACCTTAAAAATGGTAGTAGTTATTCCCTGTTTAATGTTTAGCATTTAAGGGAATGACAACAACTGGTTCACCCGTTGTCAGTATAATGTGACCGGGCGGAATGCTGTGCTGGGTGCCTTCGGCATGGTGTTTCAGTGAGATATTTCAGTCGGCATCAGATCCGCGCTATCAAAAGGAGGCAAGCACACCAACATACCTTGTCTCCTGCATACACAGCCACGCATCCACTACACATATGGAGACACGTCCTTAAATGACCTTAGCTGTTAATAGGAAGCTAAAAATTTAAACCTTCAAGGAGCAATGTCGATCACGAAAGTCATAAAACTATACCATAGATCTAATATTATAGCATATATGAAATATCTTAGGTAGTATATAAAATATCTAACGTAGTATATGAAATAGTATAAGAGATATCTTATAAATGAGATCTCATTCAATTTTCTGTATTAGATATCTTATATAGTAAATATCCCATAAACTATATAAAATAGCTCGTATGACGAGAATCTCGTCACTATATAAGATATGTATATAGAAACGGAATTAGTCAAAAATGAAGTCTTCTCAGCCGGAATCTCTCCAGGATCTAGTACATGGTAAATGTTGTCAACAGCACATGGTCCTGTCGCCATCATGGCAAACCTCACGGGTGCGTTATATGGCAGTGTCCTATCTTAATGCCACGAAATTTTATTTTATATAAGATATCTCATAAAGTAACGAAATTTCCAAGTATATCAGATATCTTATATAGCATAGCAGATATCTTATTTAAAACATTAAATGAGATATCTCATATGATATACATCATATCTTATGTATTGAGATATCACATAGTATATTAGATATTTTATAAGATCACCAAGATCGTTCATAAGATATATCGTATATGTTATGATATTATCTGATATAGTATACAAGATATCTGATATAATTTGATGAAATATAGAATCGTTGTTTCCTTTTTTCGACTTTCTACATCGACAAACTGATTTTTCAATAGAAATCTATTGAAGCCAGAACTTGTTAAATGGACGCGTTATAAAAGGTTTTACACCAACTTTGATATGTCTATTACAATCCTTCAAAGTACGTACCCCCTCTTAGCAGAAACGCACTTTCGCAAATGACGTTATATACTGACAGACACTGGAAGCTTGCACTACCAAGAGCACTCATAGAGGCATGCCGTTTCCCAGAGAGTATTTTCTACAGGAAGAAGTCACAGGGCCAGTCTACAAAGGCGATAAACTATTCCATTGTCCGTTTGCACGGGGGCTGCCTGGTGACAGAACTTACTGAATGGCCCTCGTACTGCGGACTAGTCCTAAATGGACGAAATGACCAGATGGCCAGTACAATGTTCACCTTGTTTGGCTTTCTATTTCTGGTAATTGAATATTAAATTGGCGCTTCCTTCATTCGTATTTCTGGTAATTATTAAATAGGCGCTTCCTAAATTCGTATTTCTGGTAATTATCAAACAGGCACTTCCTTAATTCGAGCAGGCGCATCCTTAATTCGTATTTCTGGTAATTATTAAATACGCGCTTCCTTAATTCGTGTTTCTGGTAATTATCAAATAGGCGCTCCCTTAATTCATATTTCTGGTAATTATCAAATAGGCGTTTCTTTAATTCGTATTTCTGGTAATTATTCAATAGGCGTTTCTTTAATTCGTATTTCTGGTAATTATCAAATAGGCGCTCCCTTAATTAGTATTTCTGGTTATTATCAAATATGCGATCCCTTAAGTCGCATTTCTGGTAATTATTAAATAGGCGCTTCCTATTTCGTATTTCTGGTAATTATCAAATAGGCGCTCCCTTAATTCATATTTCTGGTTATTATCAAATAGGCGATCCCTTAATTCGTATTTCTGGTAATTATCAAATAGGCACTCCCTTAATTCGTATTTCTGGTAATTATTAAATAGGGTACTTCCTTAATTCGAACAGGCGCTTCCTTAATTCGTATTTCTGGTAATTATTAAATAGGCGCTTCCTAATTTCGTATTTCTTGTAATTATTAAACAGGCGATCCCTTTGTTCGTATTTCTGGTAATTATTAAATAGGCGCTTCCTAAATTCGTATTTCTGGTAATTATTAAACAGGCGATCCCTTAATTCGTATTTCTCATTATTATCAAAAAGGCTTCCTTAATCCTTATTTCTGATAATTATAAAAAAGGCGCTCCCTTGATTCGTATTTCTGATTATTATCAAATAGGCGATCACTTAATTCGTATTTTGGGGTATTTTAAAATAAGCAATCCCTTAATTCGTATTTCTGGTTATTATCAAAAAGGCGCGCCCTTAATTCGTATTTCTGGTAATTATCAAATAGGCACTTCCTTAATTCGTATTTCTGGTAATTATCAAATAGGCGCTCCCTTGATTCGTATTTCTGATTATTATCAAATAGGCGATCACTTAATTCGTATTTTGGGATATTTTTAAATAAGCAATCCCTTAATTCGTATTTCTGGTTATTATCAAAAAGGCGCTCCCTTAATTCGTATTTCTTGTAATTATTAAATAGGGTACTTCCTTAATTCGAACAGGCGCTTCCTTAATTCGTATTTCTGGTAATTATTAAATAGGCGCTTCCTAAATTCGTATTTCTGGTAATCATTAAAGAGGCGATCCCTTAATTCGTATTTCTCGTAATTAACAAAAAGGCGCTTCCTTAATCCTTATTTCTGGTAATTATTAAAAAGGCGCTCCCTTGATTCGTATTTCTGATTATTATCAAATAGGCGATCACGTAATTCGTATTTCTGGTACATTTTGTAACTGTTAAATAGGCCCTTTCTTAATTCGTATTTCTTGTAATTATCAAATAGGCGATCCCTTAATTCGTATTTTGGGATATTATTAAATAAGCAATCCCTTAATTCGTATTTCTGGTTATTATCAAATAGGCGCTCCCTTACTTCGTATTTCTGGTTATTATTAAATACGCACTTCCTTAATTCGTATTTCTGGTAATTATCAAATAGGCGCTCCCTTAATTCGTATTTCTGGTAATTATCAAATAGGCGCTCACTTAATTCGTATTTCTGGTAATTATCAAATAGGCGCTTCCTTAATCCTTATTTCTGGTAATTATAAAAAAGGCGCTCCCTTAAATCGTATTTCTAGTAATTATCAAATAGGCGCTCACTGTATTCGTATTTCTGGTTATTATCCAATAGGCGATCGCTTAATTCGTATTTCTGGTAATTATTAAATTCGTATTTCTAGTCATCATTATCGGTTATTATGTGTCACACAACATAATACACTGCCAACAGTTAGAATGGTTAGATTTCTGGGTTTACTCAGTGCACACACAGTACCTTTCCTAACGCAAATCTATAGACTCTATTAAAGTAGATTGATATTTTTTAAATTTATTTTAGCACAAAAGTATGATTACAATTATATAACATTTATTGTATGTTTATTGAGTACAGTATGCTTATCGGCTCAAGCGAAGAGTTCTATATTAATTTCTCTTCAGTTATCATCATAATAACGGCACTTTAGCAGCAATTTCAACATCATGGTTGCTATGTTTTTTTTACTCTACAAACTGTTAATACATTGTACACGACACAAATCTTACTGGTATAGTATAGGAATGCACATTCAGTCCTGGTAGTAGAAGTCTTCTCGAAGGAGTCATTATAGGCGAGGGCAAAGTCCAATGGGAATATGACTAATGCGGGTTAACAAACTTTCATATCACCCTACCACTAGGATTGTTTATAATACCGACAAACACATAAAGTCATTGTCACAGGTAACGATAAGGAATAAAATCATATTAATATTTTTGAATATAAGCAACAACTATTCTTACCTTATAAATTTGGTTTGGCGGTACTCTACCATTGGTTAGTGTATTAAAGTGTAACAGGAAGCCAAGGGGCCTTGATAGCGCACCTGGAATTTTCTATTTTAATGTAAAACCTGTTTATTATTGTACACTTTAATCAACAAGAGTACTGCGGGGCGGAACAATATACGCCCGTCAAATGCCATATAGTGTACACAACTTCATATCATGATTATAACGTATACCAAGTTTCAAAGAGATCCGTTGAAAAATTTAGGAGATTGCAGGACAAAAATCAAATACTGAGGGCAATAACTTTTGCAAAATTTGTCGAATCTTCAAGGAAACACAACAACATATCAGTTTAATTAAGCCTACTAAGTTTTAAAGAAATCCGTCAAAAAATGTAGGAGATCTCCGGACAAAAAATAAAATACTGAAATGAACCAAGGGCAATAACTTTTGGAAAAATTGTCGAATCACAATTATTTTAGGGGAGACACAACTTCATATCATGATTATAATACATACCAAGTTTCAAAGAGATCGGTCGCTAGGAGGAGATTGCCGGACAAACACAAGTTTACGCCGGACGGACGACGCCATACCATAATACTCCCGTCAAATTTGACGGGCGTATAAAAAGTGTAAATCCCTAAGCCCAGTAATGACGCTGAGGATAAGAGTGTATGTTTCTCCATCCCCAACAATTCATTATAACGTTAAGAGTAGGAATCTCAACTCTTTCAAATGCCAAAGGGTGAGGCAGGACCTCAGGGCTAATCCTAGTAGCATGAAAGTTTATATCTGCATTGCCACCAATTATATATTTTTGTTTATATGGCGGTGATCTTTAGTTCTTTGTTATTACCCACAATGTAAGTCCCAGGGGTGGAGCTGGATCCCTGACCCAATCCTGTCAGTATAAATGAACTTGTCTCTTCAAGCCTAGCAACTGTACATGGTTTTAGGGAGGGGATATCATGTTTCCATGTTATGACCTGAGGAGTTGGTCAAGGTCATTTTATTTTGCGAACTTTGTCAGGCCCAATCTCTGGAATGTTTAACCTTGAAGGTTTATCATGGTCATTTTTGTTCGCACACTTTGTTGGGCTCCATTCAAGGAAGCTACCACCATAATATACATCATTACTAAGCCTTTTGGTTCTAATAGAAGTTGTTTAAAGGAAAAGTTGACGATGGAGGACAGACGCTGCGCCATGACATAAGTTCAGGCCTGGTGAGCTAATAGCTGTCGATAAATCAGGAAAGTTTCACGATGAGAGCAAACACCTGCCGGAAGATGCTTGGTCAATTTTGAGCACATTGTAGTCTATGGATTTGTCTCAGTCATATGCGATATGTTTGAACAAATCAGTGCCGTGTAATACAGATATATCAGAGGCAGAGGTGCTGCCCTGTTTGCCTGGAAGTCATTACTTTTTCTGACAAGTTCACAAAAATAATCTGACATTTTTTTTGAAAATAGTCATCTATTAATATATTTCAAAGGTGAATTTCCTCTGTATCAGCCATCATTTAACAGACTTTCAATTCCCCTCACCAACACTTTGGATAGCTATATGTAAAAGGACTGCCTGGCCCGCTGTCCTAAATCATAAGGAATATCAGGTGAATGCACTAAACTCATCTGGACTATGTTATAAAATTGCAATCAGCTGAGCTAGTAAGTATAAGTATGGACAGTGGGTTTTGTGTAACAAATTGCATGGCAAGTGTTCTGCAAACAAATAACAACACCAAATACTATCAACAACCAATTTTAATGATGTATCAATATTTAGCACAGATACAAAATGTAAGTGAATTCATATATCTGTTGCTATTTTTCATTTCTGAAATCGTCTCCACGGGTGTGACATCATTATAATAATAAGTGTAACAATAAAAACACAGTGTAACCTGTCTGTCTTATATAAACCAGAGACCTGTATACACCAGATAATCCACTAGGATACCTGTACACACCAGACAATCCACTAGGATACCTGTATACACAAGACAATCCACTATGATACCTGTATACACCAGACAATCCACTAGGATACCTGTACACACCAGACAATCCACTAGTATACCTGTATACACCAGACAAACCACTAGGATACATGTATGCACCAGACAATCCACTAGGATACCTGTACACACCAGACAATCCACTAGTATACCTGTATACACCAGACAAACCACTAGGATACATGTAAACACCAGACAATCCACTAGGATACCTGTATACACAAGACAATCCACTATGATACCTGTATACACCAGACAATCCACTAGGATACCTGTACACACCAGACAGTCCACTAGGATACCTGTATACACCAGACAAACCACTAGGATACATGTATACACCAGACAATCCACTAGGATACCTGTATACACCAGACAATCCACTAGGATACATGTATACACCAGATAATCCACTAGGATACCTGTATAAACCAGACACCTTACTAAGTCCAATTGTACCTAACTAAATATAAGTTGAACCTGTGTAATCTGGATACCTGTATAAACTGGACATCATACTATAAATATGAACACGTAGTTTGAACCTGTATCACACTGATACCTGTTTAAAATGAAAATCAAACTAGGTCAAGCTGTTAGCTTGAATAAACTGGACATACAATATAGTCACTTAAATCACGTAAATCCCATTAAATAGTTTACTTCTGGGACATGTCTTGTAAGTTGTGTATGATATATATCGGAGTATCTTTACTGACTCTGATGTGAAGTTCCCAATATAGCATGTGTAATCATTTAAAAAACACATACACTTGCCACGGTCTAGTGCTCTAGTACATGTACTACACAAAAGGGAAAGGAGTACCAAAAACCTTGTCCAGTGTGCTAGACCACAGGGAAGGGATTACCAAAAACCTTGCCCAGTACAGCCAATACATCCCAGACCACAGGGAAGGGATAACCAAAAACCTTGTCCAGTACAGACTATACATACCAGACCACAGGGAAGGGATTACCAAAAACCTTGTCCAGTACAGCCTATACATACTAGAAAACAGGGGAGGGATTATTAAAAACCTTGTCCAGTGTGCTAGACCACAGGGAAGGGACTATCCAAAACCTTGTCCAGTGTGCTACACCACAGGGAAGGGAAGGGATTATCAATAACCTTGTCCAGTGTGCTACACCACAAGAAAGGGATTATCGAAAACCTGTCCAGTGTGCTAGACCACAGGGAAGGGATAATCAAAAGCCTTGTCCAGTGTGCTACACCATAGGGAAGGGATTATCAAAAACCTTGTCCAGTGTGCTACACCACAGGGAAGGGATTATCAAAAACCTTGTCCAGTGTGCTAGACCACAGGGAAGGGATTATCAAAAACCTTGTCCAGTGTGCTAGACCACAGGGAAGGGAAGGGATAATCAAAAACCTTGTCCAGTGTGCTTCACCATAGGGAAGGGGTTATCAAAAACCTTGTCCAGTGTGCTACACCACAGGGAAGGGATTATCACAAACCTTGCCCAGTGTGCTACACCACAGGGAAGGGATTATCACAAGCCTTGTCCAGTGTGCTACACCACAGGGAAGGGATTATCACAAGCCTTGTCCAGTGTGCTACACCACAGGGAAGGGATTATCACAAACCTTGTCCAGAGTGCTACACCACAGGGAAGGGATTATCACAAACCTTGTCCAGTATGCTACACCACAGGGAAGGGATTATCAAAAACCTTGTCCAGTGTGCTAGACCACAGGGAAGGGAAGGGATAATCAAAAACCTTGTCCAGTGTGCTTCACCATAGGGAAGGGGTTATCAAAAACCTTGTCCAGTGTGCTACACCACAGGTAAGGGATTATCACAAACCTTGTCCAGTGTGCTACTCCACAGGGAAGGGATTATCACAAACCTTGTCCAGTGTGCTACTCCACAGGGAAGGGATTATCACAAACCTTGTCCAGAGTGCTACACCACAGGGAAGGGATTATCACAAACCTTGTCCAGTATGCTACACCACAGGGAAGGGATTATCAAAAACCTTGTCCAGTGTGCTAGACCACAGGGAAGGGAAGGGATAATCAAAAACCTTGTCCAGTGTGCTTCACCCTAGGGAAGGGGTTATCAAAAACCTTGTCCAGTGTGCTACACCACAGGTAAGGGATTATCACAAACCTTGTCCAGTGTGCTACACCACAGGTAAGGAATTATCACAAACCTTGTCCAGTGTGCTACTCCACAGGGAAGGGATTATCACAAACCTTGTCCAGTATGCTACACCACAGGGAAGGGATTATCAAAAACCTTGTCCAGTGTGCTAGACCACAGGGAAGGGACTATCCAAAACCTTGTCCAGTGTGCTACACCACAGGGAAGGGATTATCACAAACCTTGTCCAGTATGCTAGACAACAGGGAAGGGAGTTACCAAAACCTGCCCAGCACACTAAACAACAGAGAAGGGAGTACAAAAAACTTTGCTTAGTGAGCTAGCGTTGGACAACAGGGAAAGGATTCTTGACAGGTACATATAGATTAACCTTGTAAACATACTAGACAACGGAGAAGGGAGCTCCCAAACCCTTGTCCAGTACAGACAACAGAGTTCTACATTGTAAGTACCCAAAACCCTGTCCAAAACACTATATAACAGGGAAGGGAATATCCTTTTTGTCCAGTATACTAGACATGAGTATCAATAGTTTTTATAACACTTGTTTTTCTTTTTCCGTTGAGGATAGAGGGAGGTCAGTTTCACAGAGAGAAAAAAGTTTGGTTTGGTTTGTTTGTGTTTTACGTTCTATTAACAGCTTTGGTCATCACTTAAATCAATTCACTGTAATGATATTTAACTTATATTTATGGTGTAATGCACTTGTTTGCAGTGTATTTATTATTGTTTCTTAACTGCTCAAATGTATGCGTGCATAATGATGCATCTGTCTGTCTAATTCAATGTATGTATGTATGTACTGTATGTATGTACTGTGTGTCTGTCTGTCTGTGTCTGTTTCAATGTATATATGTATGTGTGTATGAGTATAAATGTAGATGTATTTCATGTGTGTTATGTTACTTGTGTATACTAGCTCGTTGTTTATTTACCCAGCTTATCCTTGTTTGTAATATTATGTTGTATATGGAATTTGTTAGGGTGTGAAAGAAGTATGTTTTGTGTTCTTTTCCTGTTCTCTATTGGCAAATATTTAATTTTCCCATTGCCCTTCCTATTTATTTTTTGTTTGTTTGACTGATGGATGTTGAATGAGAACCCTCCTGCGTGAGGACACCATATTATTAAGGGGGCCGACTCCAGGGCGCCCCAACCCTGGCAGCTCCTATCAAAATATTTATATATGTATATATATATCTGTGCTTGGAAGCAGTATATGTATATACATATTTATGAACAAAAATGGCTGGGGGGAATAAAATATTTGAGAAAAAAAACAACAGCTTTGGTCATTTAAGAACGTGCCAGGTTTTGGTGGTGGAGGAAAGTCACTGACCTACGGCTAGTACCTGGCTACTGCCCCACGTAGGTTTCGAACCAACGACCCAGTGGTTGGAGAGCTAGTGGTAGCAGAATGTCAGACGCCTTAACCATTTGGCCACCGCGGCCCCTAAAAAATAGTGGTTCAGATCTAACTTCAAATCTAGTCCACATTATTTGGTTTTATGACACAACATGACCCAGTCCACAGCCCAGATCTTCCACATATGACCTGCATCCTACACCACCTAACATGTTTCACTGTACCATATAAGACATAGTCTGCTCTGCCACACATTAGTCTCCTATAGACATGTATAAACCGTGACATTGTCCACTGACTCTTACACAGGACGTTCCAAGTGACAAAGGACATAATTCACTGTATAACGGTCCACTTCAGAGTTTACTTGGCAGCATGACATCAGCCTCTAGTCACACAACAGACACTGTGTCTGAGAACTGTAGACCAAGTGTCCCTTTTTGTAGCACCTCTATTGTATACCACTTAAAAAACGTTAATTCAATTATTGAGGTTGTGCACAATGTAATTCTTACATCAGTTTTCTCATCCCAGAAAAATATTAAAAATAAAACTTTGATGAAAATTCTATAGGGAAAAACAATCTATTTCTGACAAGGAACAAACACTACTTCAATCATAATTTTTTTTGGACATTTTATTTTTGATGTAAAGTGTTTACTTCTATAAGTCAAAGCTATAGACTTTTTTCCTAAGGCAACTTCTATTGTATTTACGTATAAATGTTTCCTAGGACTAGTCAGGGAGTTAATATTCTTTGAAACATTATCAAAGACCAAGTCAATGAAATGCATGGAATGAACAGACAGTAATCTCGACTACAAAAAAAAACAATGGTTATATAATATTTATATTGAGATCACACTTTTGTCGAAGTGTACCACACTATACCTACATCACTGTAAACATACCTACTGTTATTTGTCAATGAAGCACTTTCTGCACTGGCAATTATTTGGTTTGGTTTGGTTTGTTTGTGTTTTACATCCTATTTTCAGCTATGGTCATTTGAGGATGAGCTAGGTGGAGGAAAGCTGGGGAAACCCCCAACCTGTGACAGGATGAGCTAGGTGGAGGAAAGCCGGGAAAACCCCGTACCTGTGACAGGATGAGCTAGGTGGAGGAAAGCCGGGGAAACCCCCAACCTGTGACAGGATGAGCCAAGTGGAGAAAGGCCGGGGAAAACCACCAACCTGTGACAGTACCTGCTGCCTGCTCTTAAAGCACAGCATTAACAATTTATCATATAATTAATTGTATTCTGAATCACAAATATCTTGTATATCCTGTAATGTAATGTAAAGAAAATAATCATGGTATATGATTGTTCATTCCACTCTACATCTCTGTATAAATTAATGTATATAGAAATGTTTACAGTATGTAGATCTGTTTTTACTTTTACAGCTTACAATATGCAAGCTGATGCCATAACATAACCACCAGGCTCCAATAAATGTGCATACAAGGCACAAAGCCAAATCCCTGTTCAGCACTATTATTAAAGTACAGAACAACCGTTTCTCAGACCTGCGTGATGATCTGTGATCAGTAATACACAGTATCACTTCACAGGTAACAGTTTAAACGACATGACTGTGTCACACGAAACATCACATAACTGTTGGTGGATGGAACACACAGACAATCCTGATAATTCATTGTGTTGTTTTGGTCACATGACTCTTGTACCATGTCATACTGTAGATTTCTTATAATTCACATGTTTTTTAATTTGCATAAATGAGCACAAAGCCTAAATTGTGAATTACAGTTTCACATGATCATTTTTCAATTATTTAAACATAAGGCTATCCATACACATGAGCGTAATGTGCAATCCTTTCCTCACGTATAAATGCAGAAACTTGATTTTATTTGATTCGGTGTGCACGAAATATAAGAAAATCCACAGCGTACTAAGTGACGCCTAGTGAGGTCATCTCGAGTTTTTTGGTGTACTGGATATGCTTCGGTGACTTGTCCTTTCACTGCTGGATGAGGAATATGACCTTGACCTCTGACCCCTCATATCCTCTGAACGTGAGTGACGCTTACTGCCGTTGGGTGTGATGGAACGTGATCTTGATTTTGCTGTCCGACGTCTGCAAAAGAAAGTATTTGTTTTATCATCAAAATAATCAAGAACTTTTAGTGCACAAATAAACATTAATAGGTAAAGGTGGTTAAATAAGAGTATAATATAATAGGTAACTTGCATTGATTTTGAGAGACATGTCCTTCTAGTTACAATTGCCATGATTATGACTTTTTTTACAATTTTCAGTACCAAAACTTTTAGCAAAAATATGAACTCATCCGAGGCACTCCAATGTTTGACTTTTGTACAAAACGATGATGAAAATTTGTTCACCTGACAAGGGACCACAACAGGATGGGACACACATGACTATAATGATAGCCACCCTATCACCCTATAATGTAAGGGACATAAAAAGCTGCAGTCAGAGAAATGCCAGGTAGATATACTATGCCATCACAAAAGTGCAAAGGGATTTCCTGTTAGGTGAGTTAAGGCATTTTTTTACTTATCAAGTAATGAAATATGAAACCGACACCTGTAAGTCTGAAAACAATATGCCCTACACTAATGAAACACTATAAAGCCTAGATCAACTGCTACAAACCTCTTTTTCTTTGTCCTATCAGAGTCCGAGCTGTCTTCAGAGGACTCAGAGCTGGAACTAGAACTAGAGGAGCCGGAGCTAGAACTGTCAGAATTAAATCCTGTGGGCTGGCTCAGGTCTACGCGGTCAGCAATGGCTGCTATTGCTGGCTTCTCTTTCTGTCCAAATCAAAGTTTTCAGCTCATGAAGTGATATATTGTCTAAATTAGTGATATATTTTGCACATCTGATTTTTTCTAATACGCCTTTGTAAATATTCTTTGGGACAAAAAACCACATTTGCATGAAAAGCATTTTACAAGAAAAGATGACATCCAGCACGAATTCAGGATCATTAGGTTCTACTATGGCTTGTCATATGTACAATCATACTTGGTTTGGGTAAAAGCTGATATCATAGATGGGATTTCTCACCTGGAGTGTGCGGTACCACTTTTTGGAGAGTTTTGGCCGGCCTCGTACAGTTTTATGCCAAACAACAGGAAAGTTGGTTACACTGCAGAAGTTCTGTGTAACAGCAATGGTATCGTCAAGGTTGACAACGACATGCCACCAACCTCCAGGTACAAAGACAGTCTCTCCTGGGCACTGTAGAATCTCCAACTGGAAATAATACCGCAACAATATAACGTCAGTGGACCAAAAGGGGGACAGTACCCAAAATGGGACACTTGTGGGAAGATGGCCTAAGAAATGGTCATGCATTGCAAAGAAGTATTTTTAGGTATGCAATTTTTAATTTATATACCTATACTGAGTCCTTCATGTAAATTTAACTGTATATCAGTTTTATTGGCTGCTGATTATGGTTTCATGGACAGTTTGGATTTAAGAAACAATTACTGTAACAAAATTTTCAATTACTGGAACAAAATTTTCTTTATTATATTTGACGCTTTTAATTTGGATATCATTATCAGAAGGCTAATTATTTTTCAAAAGCTTCCTCTGATTTAAAACAATTTAAATAGGTACAATTTTCTGCATATATTGATTTTTTATCTGCCAATATAAGCTAAGATACTTAAGTGTCCTATTCAGGGTACAGTCACACCTATTTAAGGACATACATGACCCTGATATAATTCTGCATTTTATTCATAGAACCACATGACGGATATATAAACTTGTAATAGAAAAGAATAGCGGATAATATCTATTTATGTAAAATGAAAAAGAAATGATACTTTGATATAAAATACATTGATATTTATCTAAAAAAACGTCCAGTTTTTAGAAATGATGTTACACAATATTCTGGCACAAATTTAACAGTTCTCCCTGATACGGTAGAATTACTAATAAATTTTACATCTCATGAAGAAGAAGCTTTATTTACTTAAGCAATGACAAATAGTAGTCACAAAATGACCAACTCCCTGAGAAAACATCTTAGATCACAAATCACAAAGAAACATTGTATGTCAGAACCTCAGAACTACATAACACTGTAGAGGTTAACTGTACATGTGAGGAGAGGGGCTTAGCCTCAGGCTGACTTACTGGTTTAAACTCTTTTGGCCAGGAAGGAAGCTGAGTCTTGGGGTACACAAACTTGAACCAAGCAATGGCCTCATCTCGTTGCTTGCCTGCCTCTTCAGTCTGAACCTTGAGGATGTCCTTGGGAGTGTTTGTGGGGAACAAGCACCATCTGTTGGTCAACATCAAATAAGTATTACATTCATTAAAGGTAGCATCGGATGATTACAGGTAATACTGTTTCTTAGTAATCTCACCATGTACTACCAGAAAAGTTGATTCCATATCTAAATGTATTGGGGAACATCTTTAAATTTTACTGGACAGCAAAACGTTGTATTATTTTAATTTTGTGAAATTTTAACAAACCCTCGAACTAAGGGAGACAATGCGCAAATATGTAGACAGCATTGCAAAAAATACCATGGCAAACAGAGACACTAATATCATTTCCTGAATGTGAAATTCTCTCTCCTTCTTTGTTGTATGCTGGACCTCGGGGTTGCATTCATAAACTTGAAAAGACCCCTTCACATCTTATATATTGTAAGTATTTACCAAGTTTGAAATTTGTATAATAATTGGCAGTTTAATAGTAATCATCTCATATGCCCTCGTTTATATGATCAGAATAGGGCATTATTTCCACCCAAACTCTGTAGATCATAGTTTGTCCCCCTTTCCCACCTTTACTTGGTACAATATAACATATCCCTAGCTTCCTCACTCCTATACTTTTTTTATGTAAATATAAATGATTCCTTAATGTAAACAGAAAGATAAACCCTGCCCAATTTTTATCATCCAGCCTTTTAAATCATCTGTTTTTCCCTCTCCCCTCCCCCACACATACTTACCAACTTTATGAAACTTCCATGGGAGAGATTCTGCTTGCTTAAAATTATAGCATAAATGAAATGTGTGTATATACCCCATAGAGACAAAATAACCCCTTAAAATGACATATTTTGAGTTGTTATTTCAGATGAAATTATTAGGTCTTAGAATTTAGAAATAGTTTAGCAAATTCACTGGTTGAAAATGCTAAATTTAAGGAACAAAAATCTGGTGTCTCCCTCCTAAATTGGGAGGGTTGGCATGTATGCACATAGTGTACACACCAACCTTTACTGTTTGTATCCCCCCTTCTCACCCCTTTAATTGACCCTAAATGACTAAATTGTTGATGGGCTGAAAAAAAATCCAAAAACAAAACAAGATCCCGTTTTCATGTAGGGTACACACAAGAATGTGAATACCTAGCCCTTACCTTTTGTGTCCCTCCAGCAGGGCATTCCAGGCACTGGTTCCCAAAGGGTCGATATGGATCCCTGTCCCAGAGCGACCTGGTCCCATCACAAACCATCTGTACAAAGAAAATGTGAGATAAATAATAAACATATATGGAATCAGGGTTCTCCCCAGAACTGTATGACGTCACATCATCAATACATTAACTTCACAATAACAATACATTCATCATGTAACATCAACATTGCATTATATTATAGGGTCAACAGATTGAGAGAAAAAGAGTCAATCGTCCTGTTGGGGTATAAGATGGGGGGATCTCAACCCAATTGAGAAAGATTTTTAAGCTGCTTACCGTCAACAGAAATATGGAGCCCTTTAAATTTGGGCAAATGATAAAGAAGAATGCAAAAATGCTAAATACAGTACTACACATTGCCAGTGAAGAAATGCATATTTAACTGCTGGCAAGCTTAAGTATTATAGAATTACTTAGCTGACAATAACAAGATGCCAATTATGAGGAATTCATTATATTTCTATGAGGCAATCATTAGGTTCACAAAGTGACAGCTCTGAACCATTTTTTTAATTTCCTGGATGCAACATATCTATAACAATTTCAGTTACTGATCTTCTACAGGACAACACAGCATCATTGAGATGTGTAGGAGGCTAAGACTATTTCCTCGCCCCCTTAATTCTCCCATTCCATCTTACTGATTCGCCATGGTCTATAAAGGGTCACTGTACCTATATAACTGACTATATAACTACTATAAGCTAACATCAGTCTATGAATTTTGTTTATTGTGATATTTTTTCCTTCCACTCTTTAACAGTTTTATTGACAAGATTTGACTGTCCTGTATACCTGTAAGGTGGTCGCCGTTCCTCACCGGCATACTGGAACAGGTCATCACGGAAAAACCTCGGCACAGAATAATCCTCTAGCATTCTTCGTCTCTTTGAGTGCTGTCGACAGACATTAACCAGAGATGAAATATTACCACAGAGCTTTTCATGATTAATTTTGGAATTGTCACCTTCCTAAAGGACCCTGTATCACCGCAGGCAAAACACTGGAGGTTTTCATACAAACGGTAATCTCCCTTTAATTTCACTTGAGATATATTACTGAAGATGGACTTGTCCATGTAATTACGGGTAGCTCAGTTGGTGAGATCAACCATATTGTCATTGCATCATTGCAGGTCCGGGGTTTGAATCCAGGACTGGCCCTTGCAATTTTTGCTCCTAGAACACTATAAGTATTTTTTATGTTTATTTTTCACCTTTAAGGCTTTTTTTAAAAAGGTCCCCAAGGAATGGGTTCATTTTCAGAAATTATTCATTAAAGCCATTGTCATTCCTGTAAAATATTTCCAATTCATAATAATATTTGCCAGTGGTTCAAGGAACCTTATTTTTGGAAAACACCATATATACAGTTAGTGTTTTAAGTGACAGATTGGCCCTTTTGTTCATAACGAAGCTCCCCAATAATCCAGCAGCCCCGCCCCATTCACTCTATCCACTCTGCTCAAAACAACGATATTAGTGTTTATATATACAAGAGGCCCAAGGGCCTTAGCGGTCACCTGAGTTATATCATAGGTACTGGTAGCTTTATTTTATTGTTTAGATGTGATGTGGAAATCAGCATGTAAACTAAGTGAAATACAATACTTGTCATGCCATCAAAGGATAAGAATTTGAAAATATTGGTAAATGTTCCCTTTGGTGCCCCGCCCTAGCGCCTGGGGAGGGGGCAGGAATCCCAATTTTACAAAGTTTGAGTAATTTTCTGCTGAAAATGAATAAAATATATACCCAAAAATGTTATTTCCGTATATAAACTATAGTAAACTTAACCCCCTCCCAAGCCAGAACAAATAGCTCGTGGGTTCTGAAATTTACGATTTAAATAAAGCCCCTGATGATTTCCTTTCCATGCAGAGAAAATGAATGTAGTACCTCTGAGTCTGGGATGAAGATTTTTGAAATATTGGTTAATTTAGGAATCTCAATTTTACAATTTGAAACCATCTTCCTCAAAGGATAATTTTCATCATGTAAAAATAATTTCCTACAGAAAGTTGTCAAAATATACCCAAAAGTGTTATTTCCCTATATAAACTATAGTAAACTTTACCCCCTCCCTAAGGGAGAAGGGATATCTCTGGGGTCCTGAAATTTACAATTTAAGTAAAGCCCCTGTAATATTTCTTTCCATGCAGAGAAAATGAGTGTAGTACCTCCGAGTCTGGAGAAGAAGATTTTTGAAATATTGGTTAATTTTCCCTATGGGGCCCCGCCCTGGCCCCAGGGGTTGGGGTAGGAATCTCAATTTTACAATTTGAAACCATCTTCCTCAAAGGATAATTCTCACCAAGTAAAAATAATTTCCTACAGAAAGTTGTCAAAATATACCCAAAAGTGTTATTTCCCTATATAAACTATAGTAAACTTTACCCCATCCCCAAGGGAGAACGGATGGCTCGGGGGTCCTGAAATTTACAATTGAAGTAAAGTCCCTGATGATCTTTCTTTTCATGTAGAGAAAATGACTAGTACCTCTGAGTCTGGAGAAGAAGATTTTTGAAATAATGGTTAATTTTCCCTTTGGGGCCACCCTCCCCAAGGGAGAACGGAAAGCTGGGGGGGGGTCCTGAAATTTACAACTTAAGTAAAGCCCTTGATGATCTTTCTTTCCATGCAGAGAAAATGAGTGTAGTACCTCTGGGGACCCGCCCTGGCCCCAGGGGTTGGGGTAGGAATTCCAATTTTACAATTTTGTAGCCTCATCTACCAAGGATGATTCTGACCAAGTTTGAAAAAAAATCCATCCACTGGTTCTTGAGAAGAAGTTGAAAATGTAAAAAGTTTACGCCGACGGACGAACGGAAAGCGATTAGAATAGGTCACTTGAGCAAAGATCAGGTGACCTAATAAAGGGAGTACCCTGTAGTAATAGTAGAATTTACACGCACCTCTCCATAGCTGCTGTCAAAAATATACAGAGGACTGTCATCATCATTATTGTTCATGTAGTCGACAAAGTATTTCATCTTCATCTTCACGGAGTAACCTTCATCATCCTCACCACACTTGAACTTCTGATTACGATATTTTTTTGCAAGCCTCTGAAAATGCAAGGTTCCAAAAACTGTAACAATAGCTATTAGCCGATTCATTTCTGCACAACGGTGACAATGAACGTCACGTTTACATCATACACAACCATGATTTAGAACCACAGCTACCTCTAACATGGTGAAGTTATATAACTTTTATCAGGAGCAATTGCTTCTGAATAATACAGTAGCTAAATATTACTTCTGATATATAGTTCAGAGTACTTGCAACTTACTGTATCATTTTAAGCCAGTGTATATTCCCAGCTCACCGGTATTGTTTGAAGTCGTAACATAAATTCCAAAGATCATGTATAAATTGAGAGGTTTCAAACAACACTAGAATTGTTTGAAACCTCTCTATTCAGTTCATTTCCCAATGCCAGTTAACTAATTTTGTTTCAAATCACATTGTAATATGACCTATAAGCCCTTTGTTTGGTTGCAAGATTTCAATTGTTTCAATTGTGACATAACGCCTAGGACAAGTACATGATACCACAGACTTACGCACTGAAGTCAAAATGGCGGCATTTTACATTTTTAGGTTGCATGAAAACTGTAATTTTACACGAATAAAGGCACCAAATTTGATTATGTGATAAAAAGGATCTTACACTCGTTTTCATTTCATATGAAACTTATGAAACTCGTCACAAATTTTTCATTTTAGCTTGCCAGAGGCTCACTAAATTGAAAAATTCTTAAGACTCGTTTCATAAATCTCCTATGAAATAGAAACTCATATATGTAAGATCCTATATACATCAGGTAGATTTCAGGTAATTTTTCAAAGAATAGTAGATGTTAATGTAGTAAACAAGAGAATCAATTCGCCATCCTATGTTGAATACTTCTGTCAGGTGTATAGAGGTATTAACTGCACTTGACTGCTGTACATGGTGTATAAAGAAGCATCTTAATTCACCTTTCACTCCGATATGAAGCAAATTCTTAAACCTCATCTTTTTTTTTCAGATTTTAGATTTAGATTTTTTTTGTGTCAAAATGAAAAGACAATGTCTTAATCTCATCAGGAATGAGTCCCAATTCTGGTCCAAGTTAACATAGGCTGGAAAGAATCTGGTATACACTGTGCTGGTTATATTGGTGGTTACATTATTAAGTAGTCAAAGGGGGGTAATAATATTTCTTGATATTTGTTCATTAGTAAGCACACCGGTACTGTACATATCATGCCAATGAGAGAAAAATTCTATATATTCAGCATATTATTGTATTTTTTCAATATGTACCTGTGGTCAATACCATTTAAAGTTTGTTATGTAATTTTTTGGTGCGAGAAATATGTTTCTTTTATGATAATGCAGAAACAATGAAATGTTGTAGAAAAGTTTGCATGCCTATTTTTTTCCTATTTCTGTCTCACGGGAAAGAGGAAGAAATCTTAAATTTAAAAAAAACAATTGTGTAGCTCTAGAACAGTCGTGTTGGTGGTAGAATTTGAACATTATTAACAATAATAAAATTTGCATCAAAGATTTGTTTCCTTAAGACTTTACCTGTTTTGTCCATTTCTTTGTGGCCTGCCATTCTTTGGTTGCATTGACAAGTACAACAGGTTTGTATGGAGCTTCATATTCCTCTATGAACTCCTCTTTGGTAGTCTTGGTAACATCTATTCGAGGCACATTGTCCTTTACGGTCTGAAGACTAAGGTCAAATGTTTGTGCAAAGTTATAACGACACCATCCATTCTTATCCGAGCCCAGCTCTGTAATACAAAATAGTCTAGATTTAATATTTATGGAATGAAACACACAGTTTAATTTATCATACCTCTACTGAGTTACAATACGATAGAATATCCTATTTCCCTAAAATCACTTAAATCTCTCCACATGAGGACTACTCCCTCCCCAATACAGGACTACTCACAGCAAGAAAGAGGACTACTTACTCATGACTTTTTGTAGGCAGAGCTTATAAAATTTCAACCAATGAAAACATTTGGTAGGCGCCCAGGAGGGGGGGCCTTTTCAGAACCAAACGACAACAGTGAAAATGGACACCAATGTAGGCCGTTTTGATCATGTATCCGATGAGGAATCATTAAAGCAGATTTTGGACGCTAAAAATAGCTTAAATACAAAATCTGTTGTTTAGACTGCAGTGAATTTACTTCAAACTTATTTAACAGAACTGAATTCCGGAAGCGTCGACGATTAGGGCCAAGCAAGCACAGAGGAGGTGGACGTGTGTCCAATCAAGTTTTATGCAGATTTTAAATATGGTAGGAAATCAAAGGTGACCATTAGATACGTTCTACAAAAAGCACCTCTTGAATGCTAGAAACGAAGATATCATCAACAACACATTTAAAAAGAGGGAGTAGTGTGGCAGATTTTAATTGTTCATAGAATTATGGTCGCATTCTACCTTAGAGCTAGAGGGAATTTTCCTTTAGCTCAGTAGTAGAGCATCCGACTAAGAACCTGGAGATCGAAGGAGTGATCCGCTATGGAAGCACAATATTCTCTTTCCTGTGGCGGAAAACGGGTTGTTAGCCTTTAGAAGTGCTTATTTTGTGTTTATCCTTGTGTATCAATTTATTGCCATCCTAGTGTAACTAAAGGTACAGTTATTCTATCGGCGTATACATATGTAGCGGCTACCGGTATCTCTTGTGTAGTCTATTTGTTTACATGGGTGTTAACTTTTGAGAAGACGGCAATTTGGAAGAGGTTCTGAGCTCACTACGCATACGTTATAGATTAGGCCAATCAGAATGGGTGTCTGATACATGTTACATAGGGCCAGGAGGCTGGGGTATAAAAGGGGATGCCTACGGGCAAAATCAGGGACTTGCGTGACTTGAAAGCCGGCTTTACAAGGAGGGGAAACACATCCTCCAAGGTGCTGAAAACAGTGCTACTGATGTACTGAAAGCAGTACACCCACCTTCGAGAACCTTAGGGTAAGCTTAAGGCTTGTTAGCTTAAGGTATGTCAGTGTCCTGGAAGGGGTTGGTTTTCACAATAGAATAGTTACAATGACCTGTAGGCTTTTTACCACATGGGTGCTAATATATATAGGTTCACTAAACATACATTTTTTTCTCAACACTGTAGGTTTTGTTCTATCTTTTATACTACATATTGTTATTAATGTATGTATTGTTTGTAAGGTTTAAATGACTAGCTAATATAACTAGCCGTGTGATATTAAATAAACATTAGTTAACTTTGAAACAAGGTGTTGATTGGTTTATGATTGAGATTCGGATACTCCTCCACATCTGCAGGACCTGTGTTAGACTACAGACGGACGCTTTCCGGTTTGTTATCAGCAATGTCCTATTGGATATCACGCTGTTAAAAAGTTCATTGTTGAATAAAACTATGTACACCAGTGTGTGTCTACTTCTGTTTGGTTGACAACCTCGCTTTAACGTGAATTCATCCAAGGTAGGTGCTCCAGTCATATCATATCCAACGCAGCAGGACATGTACATTCTTGGGGATTGTCGAGGTCAGTTTGTCAGCAGTTTTGGGGAAAACCGAAATTTTATCATTAGGTTGATAACAAAAGACATTAAATATAAGTCTTCTTTTTTAAAAATAATGATGTAAAAATATCGGAAATTTTACATTTATGAAAAATGAAAATTAACATTTAACTGTATTTTTTTGCAGTCAACATTACCATAAACCTTAATGTTTAATGCGAATTTGCTTTGACTTAATGAAAATTGAAATCTGAGAAAATATAGCTCAATAAAGCTATAATGTATACAGTAGGTGAATATAGCTATATAGGTCCGTATAGCGTATACAGCTCAATCGGCAGAGTGTACTGGACCTGTATTACACCTGTTACAAATTTAAAACTCATGTGGATCTCAGATAATTCGATCTCTACTGAAAACAAAAAGAGAAGGGCATTAAACGCTGAGGCTTTCAACGTGACAACGTTTAATATTTTACCATATAACGTTAGCAAAAGTCAATGCACTGCAGTATGTCATGGTAACGAAATGAAACCGATTTACGTGCAGTCTGGAGTTCCGAGTATGGCTGCTAGTTTTAAGTTTGTTTACCCGGTCTTGCTCTTGACTTTGCTTCACGGATCCTCTTCCTCGTTCTGTGGTCCATAAATATCCGCCACTGGATTGAAGAGGGAACGCTTTCTGCCGACTCAATCCCGCAAAACAGACACAGAAGGATGAAGAGCAGGTCCTCTTCGCTCGTTTATGGTTGTTTTCCTCGTGTGTAACTTTTGGGGAATATTACGAAATCTGAATGTATCGACCAAATATACGAAACGAAAGCAAATGTGTCATTACTTATTACGCTTAATCACTTTACGAAACAGATTTTTTCTCTAAAAAGAACTTATTATAAAGTTCAGCCTAATATTAGAATCTACTATAATACAACGGCGACTATTGGAGATGACCCTGCGATCCCTTCGAATTCTTATCTCTAACAGAATTATCGTTCCTGATAATCAATGAACGACAACTCTTGTTAGAGATTGCCTTTTTTTTTTTTTATCTTAAACTATAGTTCAGACCTATTATAAATAAAGCGAATGGAGTTATAGTGATATTAACAGTACACAAACAGAGAACAAAAAATATTGAAGATTAAAATAATTATGTAAGGCTTTAGACAAAAATATATAAACAGAGGAAACGATTTTAGCAGGGGACGTAACTCTGCAATCCTTATTTATTTTTAACCAAAACAAGAAATTGCAGCAAAGCTGCTGGACACCAAATCTTTTGATGAAAGTCACTACCTGCCTTAACCCAACTTAGGGAACGGATTATGCATATTTGAATTTATTCAGCGATTACTTTTGCTACATTTTTTTATTAAATCGTTCAGAATATATTTTTTACACTCAATTAATATCCTCACACGTGCATTATTATACCACTGCACATGGTAGTTATAGACTCAATTGTACTATATTGTCCTTACCTATATGTAACCAATACGTAGGTTGTTGAAGTATGTAACAATTTCAGAAATGACAACTAAAAATAGTGTTAGTCATTATACATTTTGTACTTTAAGATACCGTAAATATATAAATATGTCAATTTTAAAACTCGGTAGAGAATATATTCCGTTATGTGATTGATGAAATGGTTTTGAATGAGATTAAAGCACTATATCTTTAGCACGGAATTAGATTAGATATCTAAGTCCGTGAATTTTAGTCAATAATGGCTGAAACGCCAATTATAAAGGTGTTGTATGAATTTGAAATTTAAAAAATTCAGTTCGTTTTTCGTGATCTGTTTAAAAACTAACATGATATTACTGATATAAATGATTGGTTTTGATTTATCGGATGTTCGGTGGTTTAATTTGATTTTGTTGTGTTACATAATGATTGCGAGATGTCAGTGATATAGGTAATTGTTTGTTATCAGGACACAGTTTGATTGGAGTCATTTTGAAACTTCCTCACCCGTACAGGAGGGGGATCGAGAAAAGATTGTATCGTAAGAGGCGACTAATGCGGAAACCTCCTGCAGAACTGGGGACTTGCTTATGTGCCCTCTACTTGACATGAAAGCGAATACCCCACATCTGGCTTCGATCAGGTGAGGAATGCAATGGGTCCTGTCCCCATTTCAGGCCATACCAAAGTCCTTAAAATGGTAGTTGCTATTCCCTGCTAAACGTTCAGCATTTAGGGTAATGACAACAACTGTTTCACCCATTGTCAGTATAATGTGACCATGCGGAAGGCTGTGCCGTGTGCCTTCAGCATGGCATTTCAGTGAAATAGCACTATAAAGTCGGTATCAGATCCGCGCTATCACAAGTAGACGACTACATAAATATACCCTGTCTCTGGCACATAAACACACATATACGCGTAATTACACAACACACATGGAGACACGTCCTTAAATGGCATTATCTGTTAATAGGACGTTAAAAAACAAAAACAAAACAAAAATAAAAAAAATAACCAGACTCGAAAGTTGTGAGACAACCGTTAGAAGAGAACAATTTGATGACGTAAGGCTGTTCCGGGAATCTCGTTTGTAATGACGACGTAGACACTTCAATATAAAAAATGTAAGGGAATACCTATTTAGATCAATTCTATATAGAAAATACAGAATGAAAACAAATTAAGATATCAAACGGCATTTTTTCAAAATTCATACCGGTATAAATTCAAATTGGTTTCATCAACAGGGCTTCATGGTAAATATGCATGCAACCGATTTACGTTCGAAATGAACATTAAGGTTCAACAAGCCCCGTAAAAGACGCTGTAGTTACCTAAAATTTCAACCCCCTGATAAGTCATATGCAAAGACCTCAATTAAAAATCGGAACTTATATAATTATTATATTTGTATATATTGCACTTGTATATTGACTATACAAAAAATACATAGCCATGTTAACGCAGTCAAAAATAAGGCATTAAGGTTGATGTCTTCATAAAAATAGCTCACTGGATTTATAACATGGCAATCTCTTTTGCGACCCAATTGAGTGCTGAGAAATGACCCATAATTTAAAGTTTATTTATATACCTAGGTCTTCTACTAGCTGTTGAGAGGAATTCAAACCTCAAATAAGGATAGATGTTGCCATGCGAAACCACTAAAATCATAGTAAAACCCCCTGGTAATACATTTTAGAAAACTATAAATAAGAAAACAAAGGCTAAGTGTCCTTGATCGAGAAATGAACTTTAGATGATATGCAATTTGATAACATTCTGTGATTATATGAATGCGCTAGACATGTTATAAAACATTGAAGCTGAAAAGTAAAATTATGCTTATAACAAGTCTAGCTCTTTCATGACAACATTGAATGTTAAGAAAGGACATTTTATATGAAGTTTAAGTAGTTGTTATGGTCAAAGGCCATGTATACCGGTAAAATATGTTACGCGGACGTTAGTATGTTACGCGGACGTTAGCGGACGTTAGTATGTTACGCGGACGTTAGTATGTTACGCGGACGTTTTACTATGATTTTTGTGCATTCCCATAGCAACAATCATCTTCTTTTAAGGCCGATATGCCTCTCCACACATAGTAAAAGAGAAATAAAGCCCCGCATGACCTAGGTATATAAATGATCTTCGAATACCATGTAATTTCGTATTATTCAATTGGGTCGCTTAAGAGATTAACATGTTATATTTGGTGAGCAACTTTTATAATTACAACAGCCTTGATGCCGTATTTATGACTTCGTTAACCTGGTTATGTACCTTTTTAATAGCACATGAACAAGTTCAATATATTCAAATTACATATAAATATTCAAATTCTTTATAAGGATACATGAAATTGAATACGACTTGCCAGGGGGTTGAAATTTAGGGTGACTATTACATCTTTTAGGGAGCATGTTGAACCTTAAAAAAGTGACGTTCAATACATATAATGTGGCCCCTAAATCATGTGACATTTGTTTCGGAAACTTTTTCTCGGTACCGCGTATAGAATATTATTATCGGGTAATGGTGAATAATATTTTTCAGTACATATAAAACGCATTCAAAGAACCATTGTAGTAAGGTAATAAAAGCAATAATACCACACGTTTGGATTCGTCTGACGTCTCAGATTGCACTAAATGGCGTGAATGGCCATATTTCACTCTGCCACTCGACAGTGAAACAAAACCATGCATGCAGTTAACGAGTAAAATCTAAGACGTCATATGGATACATACGCATGTGTAGTATTGTTTTAATCCCAACAATTCCAGGGGTTTTGGGTATTGTCTGTGCATCCCATTGCATGCCTCTTGCAGAACCGTTCAGGTTTATCCTGTGCCTTTTTTCTTGTTAACACAGAAAAGACCAAAGTTGATCCGCTGCACTTATTGTAATGCTTGCATCGTATTTACCTCTCAGAGACACTACTGGTCAGCCGGTTGTCAGTACATTGCGACCGGGTGCAGCTCTGTTGTGACCGACCTCATCTGAGTGGGGCCCTCGTCTTATGACCATAGGTGTTGTAAGGATTCAGTGGCGGATCCAGAGGGGTTTTTTGGGCTTCAGGAAACCCCCCCACCCTGAGAATTTTCTTTAAAAATCATATATTTTCACCATTTTCCTCAA